TAAGTGTATTGATTATATTTTAATAATATTTGCACAAGATTTTACTTATTTGATTGAAAAAATACAAACAATAAGATATATTATGAAGACAAACTAGTCAATTCGAAAATCGGCGTTTCGAATTTCGAATTGCTCAACTCGGCTCGGTCTACTTTCGATTCGAATCGGCCAATTTGAAGTTTCGACTTTCGAATTGCTCGACTCGATTCGATTTTCAAATAAATTCGGCCAATTCGAAACACAACATACTGCAGCACATTATAGCACATTACATAGAAATTCGAAAGTCTAACTTCGATTTTCGAATTGGCCGATTTATTCGAAAATCGAGTCGAGTCGAGCAATTCGAAAGTCGAAACTTCAAATTGGCCGATTCGAATCGAAAGTAGACCGAGTCGAGTTTGAGCAATTCGAAATTCGAAACGCTGATTTTCGAATTGACTAGTTTGTCTTCATAAAATGTCTTATTGTTTGTATTTTTTCAATCAAATAAGTAAAATTTTGTGCAAATATTATTAAAATATAATTGATACACTTAAAAGAAATATTAAGGTTACAGAAATATTACCTGAAATATCAAAAAAGTTCAAAACCAACTTTTAACTAAACTTTATGTTAAAAAACCCCGAAATTTTGATAAATATTAATCAATTTTCTTTATTTAGGTCTTATTTTAAATGTAATGACATATATTTACATATAAAAATATTTAAGATACCTTTTGCGTGATTGAATTGCCTACATGATGTTACAAAGTTTTAATTTGAACGTTTTGCAAAAATTTGCATGTAAATATATTGATAACTCGAAAAAAGGATCAGCTAGGATTTTGATCTCAACGGATTTTTACATTTGGTATGATGCAGAAACATTCCCGACAACCAGATTGTGGATCCATTTTTGTCAAACTTTTTTTTGGTTCAGGCACAGTGTGTCATCTAAATGTGAATCTAAAAAGTGAATTTTATAACTTATCAAACATCCCAGCTTTTTAAAATTCTCTACTATTCTTCCTACAATTTCTCTGTATCTGTGGCTTTCTTTATTTCCTTGAAATTCCAAGAAAACTTTTTTAAAATTTGTCCAGGCTGCTTTTTCTTTAAGCTTCATCGTTTGTACAAATTTTTCATTATATAACAACTTACGTATCTGAGGCCCATCGAACACGCCTTCTTTGATTTTAGCGTCAGACAGTTTCGGAAACTTCTTCGCCAAATACTCAAAACATTTATCATTTTTGTCCAAGGCTTTCTCAAACCTGACCAACCGCCGATACTGAGGTATCCCTCCTTTGCATCGTAAACTTCTTTCCTACTTTTGCCATGAAGGCATAATTTTAACCTAGAAACTTAGCCGAGAATTCGTTTCCCGCCTTCAACACCGGGATGTGTCCTAGTGGCAAAAATAGAAAAAAAGAAAATAAATAAACACGAAAACTAATTTTACATAGGTCAAAAACTTTTTGAGATTGTAGTATCACAGAAATGCGATTAAATTTTAGTAAAAGATTTACAGTAAACCATTTCTGGATTATGAAAAATTCAGATTTAAAATTAGCGACTAGAGGAAACACCATTTTGAATTTTTAAAATCCAGCATCAGATTCGTATTCGGCGACCTCGAAAATCCCTACGGAGTAGCAAGTTTCAATCGATTATATTCATTTAAATATACTTTGTCCGCCATATTGGATCCGCCATATTGAATTTTTATAAACTAACATCATATTCGTAATCAGCGACTCCGAAAACCCCCAAAAACGAGTTTCAAGTAAATGCGAGGAATTTTTAAAAATTTTGTCCGCCATACTGGATCCGCCATTTTGAATTTTGAAAATCTGATGTCAGATTCGTAATCAGCGACCCCAAAAACCCCCGAGTAACAAGTTTCAAGGAAATCTGAACAATTTTTTTTAAATCCACCATTTTAGATCCGCCATTTTGAATCCGCCATTTTAATTTTTTTATATATTCAATTCTTATGTTATTAAAGACACTGAATTCAAAAAAACATTCAGAAGAAGCAAAAATTCAGCTTTATTTATAGAAATTAAGTAAATTCCCATAAAAATCAGTTTCTCAAACTTTACCCCCCACCAAGCCTGTAAAAAGAAAACACGAACTTACTTTTAGGTCGGACAATGTTTTTGTCTTTAGATACACCTTAAGGAAGAAAACCTACCACATAGCAGTCCTGGCAATCCAATTTTTTTTGTGCCGGTGTTATATTTATCTGGTTCATTAGCTTGTTTTTCTGATTTACTTCAACAAATTAAAGCTGATATTGACTACGTGGATGAATGGTCGAACAATAATCTCCTTACTCTAAACTTGGATAAGACTCAGGCTATGGTAATTTCTGCAAATAGTCATCCTTCCTCGAATTTACTGTTAACTTTCCCACCCTTACTAGTCAATGGCACTCCTATTGAATATAAGGAAAAATTGAAGGCCCTGGGCTTGACTTTGTATAGAACTTTGTCTTGGAGGGAGCATGTTTTTGGAATTACGCGAGAAATTTATATACCTAGTTTTACAACAATTAAACAAAAATAAAAATTCTCTTCCAACTCAGACCCGTATATTACTAGTGAAATCTCTTGTTCTTCCCATATGATTACTGTTGTTTTGTTTATGATGACATTACTGATGAGTTGAACTATAAGTTAGAAAGGTCCCTGAATGCGTGCATTCGTTTAATTTATGATGTGCCAAAGTACGAGCATATTACTCAATATACAGTTAAATCTGGGTTGCCGACTATTGCAGCTAGAAGGCAGCTTTTTATAGGAAACCTATTATATTTTCAACACTTAGACTCCCAAATATGTATTTGAATTTTTTTAATTCAGGGATCTAGACCAGTCGTTGTATGGCGGAATTCGAGATAGGAAAATTATTATAAATATACCTAGGCATCGAACATGTAAAATGCAAAGATCGTTTATAATTAGAGGTGCTAGAATATGGAACAAATTACCAGACGTGATAAGGAATGCACCATCTTAATTTATATTTAAAAACTTGTATTTCGAATTTTTGTTTAAGAAAAGTAATGGATGATTCGATATAACCATTTGGTAATCTTTTTCAGTATGAGTACAATTTATGTTCATTAAATCTGTAAACATTTTGACAGTCAATGCTTATAAACATTTGAATTGTTTTATTAAAAATAAAATTTTTTAAAACGCACCACATTTAAAATATCATGAAATAATGTTCAACTTAAGTTAATGCATATGGGCAATTCCACGCAAGATTTACCTATGACCTTGAGAATTCGGTTAAACATATTTTTTTCTCAATCTATATGGAAAAAAAAGAAATACGTGTTTTTTTATTTTTGTTTAATCGCCCAAATTTTCGAGTTATGAATTTTCGAAATTTTGGATTTGTAACTGTAGACATATTTTCAGTAGCTTATAAGTCTGAAAATATTGAGTTTAGAAAAAACTTGTCAAGGAATGAAAGTTTTAGTTTTCTTTCAACTTTTAAGAAATGTAAAAAAAAATTTATTTTTAAATTTTTTATTAAAAAAAATTTTTTTTTCTTTCGTTAAAAAACAATTTTTAATTGTTATAAACAATAATAGTTAACAAATAATGAACTTTTGTTCCTCTGCACCAAAAAGAATTTTTTTCATAGTTTTCATTGAAGTTTATTACAAAGAATATATGTTAAAAAAAAGTGAACGTATGAAATAGTTTGTTCAATAACTATAAACAATTTAATTTATATAAATTTGTATTAAATGTTTTTTTTCTTTCCTTGTGTTTTTGAAAATTAAAATAAAAAAATTAATTAAAATAAAATAAATGCAATTAATATATATTTTACATTAAAATGTTTATTGTTTTATTTTGACACAAACATTCTTTGCAATAAACTTCAATGAAAACTATGAAAAAAATTCTTTTTGGTGCAGAGAAACCAAAGTTCATTATTTGTTAACTATTATTGTTTATAACAATTAAAAATTGTTTTTTAACGAAAGGGAGATGTATTCATTAAATGAACCTAAAGTACAATATGAATATGAAAGAACAAAGTTTTTTTATGGAGAGGAACCAAAGTTAACTATTTGTTAACTTATATTGTTTATAACAGTTTAGATAAATTATTTTATGTTTTACTATTTATTTGGTGGCTGTATGTTATATTAATTGAATCTGATTTAGGACATGTGTAGTAGCAAAATAAGAAAATAATATTTCATTTTTAAAGGAAACTACACAATTAATTTGTTAACTTTTTGTTTTTAAAAAAAATTATAAACAATTGAAGATTTTGAGGTTTGCATGGAGAGATATCTTCAGAAATTGTTCTCCTTTTATTTAAAACAAAAAACACTCGAATCGATTAAAAATTTTAGTCTGTAGACATTTTTTGAGAAGTAAATTGTAAAAAAATTCCATTGTGAGGAGTTTCTTAAAAGTTGAAAGAAAACTAAAACTTTCATTCCTTGACAAGTTTTTTCTAAACTCAATATTTTCAGACTTATAAGCTACTGAAAATATGTCTACAGTTACAAATCCAAAATTTCGAAAATTCATAACTCGAAAATTTGGGCGATTAAACAAAAATAAAAAAACACATATTTCTTTTTTTTCCATATAGATTGAGAAAAAAATATGTTTAACCGAATTCTCAAGGTCATAGGTAAATCTTGCGTGGAATTACCTATATACTCATTGCGCTGTATTGATTTATGTATTTTGTTCCTTGAAGGGCTCATTAGCCCTAGGAACTTATTTTTTCTTAAATAAATAAATAAATAGACTGTAGAAAATTTTTGTATGAAACCTTTTGTGCTGAAGAGGGCAATTAGGAATCTGTATTTTTAAGTGAAATTGAATGCGAACTATCGTCCCTAGAAGAAGAGGAATAATCAGAAAATAAGTTTCGAAATCTCAATGTTTTCTTCTTCAGGGAGTCTATAAAAATATACTTAATGTAAATAATATAGGAAAAAGTTTAACGTGTGTCAATTATTATAAGTAACAAAATATAAAAATTTACAATATGAAAAATATAAAAATTATAAAATATTAATTGTCCGAATGTTTTTATTTATTCTCCATCATTTATATTTAATAAATAAAAAAAGAATGAAAACATAAGAAAATAGTACGAGAAAGAGAAATTACATCGTTTAAGATTACTGTTGTTGTAAATAAAGTTTAGCGGAGGCTTATAATATATCTTTTCGACATGGTGGTTGAACGCTTTGACACAAATATCTCTAAATCTGAACGTAATTTACTAAACTTTTAATTACAATAGTAACTCGAAAAGTAAATAGGGTCCATGAAATTTATTTTACGTATAATATATAGACACATAATCTGTGATCTCAATAAGTCAAATAAAAAAATTAGTCCTGACAAAATTCATCTTACTTATAAAGTGTAAAATTTAAAACGTTGATGCAGAGATAAGTACAGAGCCGTGAGCGGGATAAATACAGTCGATCTTATGTAATAGAAACTTTAAAAAGCGTTTTTGAACGTGTTCAATTTCGTCAGAGTATTTGACAAAGTATGGATTCTAGATTTTATCGGAGTATTCAACTTTGAAGCAAAGAAGTGAGTTCAACCAAGTAAGGATAATACTAAGATGATTGAAATATTTGATGTTAAGTATTAAAAACCTAAAGACTTCGATGCACCGGCAATTATTTTGCTATAGTGTTCATAAAGGTTAAAATTTATGTCAAAAGTAACACCTAAGTCGCAAGTAGAAAATACTTCTTGTAGTGTAATATTGTTTATAGTGTATTCAAACAATACCGGAAACTCTTAAGAATTAATTATTTGAAAGATTTTTACATCATCATCATCAAAGATTAGAAATTAGAATGAAAGATAACACTCTGTTACATACATTAGCGACATTTTTTGCAGGTTGTCACAAATTGTTTAACTCCCCTACCCCCTTGAAGTCTGACGTAATATATGGACGACCTCTAATTTCCGATATTTTTAATGTAAATTGATATAGTGATGAACCAAATGTAGAGCCCTGTGTAACGCCGCTAGTTGAAGTAATGGGTTTGGATTCGATATTACTAGTTGCGATACGATGTTTTCTCTCCAATAAATAATTGATTGATAATGTTTTTAAGTAAGGTTAAATGTTTATTGTGTTAAGTAATGTCTGTGTATGTTACACCAACTTGGAAACCTCTCTAAAATGTAAAGATTACGAAATGTATAAAGCTTTATAGACTTCTTTCTTACACAATCACCTTGCTCATCTGCGACACAGGAGAAGAGACAATTTGCGGTTAATTTCGCTCACCGATTTATTTTTTTTAAATTAGATTCAAACTAGCATTAAGATTTTTTCTATAAAAAATGGCTTTTTTCAAATGGTGTACTGTTCTCTCAAATTTTGTCAGGTTATTGTGCAAAATGGTAAAAAAATTTTTGCCGCTTGATTCGCAAAAATTAAAAAGGACAATATAATGAATTTGACAAATAAATTTTTATTATAATAAACATATAATGTTAATACATAAAATTTGACTGCACTATTAACCCCTTGGCAGTCGATGACATGTATACACGTCATGGTGCAGGTGGGCTCAAACTGTCGATGACGTGTTGTAACGTGGCGTTACAAATTCTCCCGCATCTGCTGCGAATCGGGCGATTGAACCTGGAAACGGCCGAAGGGCCTCGAGGGTGTCAATCGCCAGATTCGCGGACAGACGCGACACTTGTTACTGAGACTCGTTTCTTGACAGCTGTGTCGTTTCCCTTCTACTCGCCTTGATTGTCGGTCTAGTGGTGAATTGTGATTAAACTCTACGAACATCGAAGTAAGTCAAATAAATATCATTTTATAGTATTTCTTTGTTTCTCTTTTCCTTCACTTTCTCACCTTTTAATTGGAAAACCGGGCAACCAATTATAAATTGGCGCCCAACGTAAAAATCCACCTTTCCCATTTCCCTTCTGTAAAGAAATAATTTTTTTTCAACATCTTCGTTTGTTGAAATTCCCAAAATAATTTTTTCATCATCTTCGTTTGTTGAAAATCCATAGAAAATTCATTTATTTTTTTTCATCATTTTTTAATTGTTGAAAATTCCACCTGTCACCTCATGGTCGCCTAACCTCGAAATCAAATCTTTTCTTTTTCCTGTTTCCCATATTTAATTGTGTATCTTTATTTTGTGCATGAATATTATTAATCTTGACATTATTGTAAACATTCTTGTATTGTATTTTTCTGACAAATGTGACAAATTTTCTTTGTGACGGACGCAGACAAGACAAAATTTCTGTGAAAAAGTGCGCGTAAAGACCGGTAAAAATTAATCGTGAAAAATTCTTTGAAATCGGGACTAAATTCGTAAAAATTAGTGAAAATTATTGAAAAAACGGAAAATAAAGTCGAGAATTAAAAAAGAAAAAGTGAATTTATCGATTATTTTGAAGAGAAAATTTTGTCTTTGTAAGACGCCGGTTTGTTTTGTTTTCGTGATCAAGGTCGTGTGTAACTAAAAAAAAATAGTAAACACGAAAAATTTCGCGATTAATTCGAAAACAATTTTGTCAAGTTAGAAAATAAGATTAATATACCGGGTGTCTCTAAAGTTTAAACTTAGAATAAAAACTTAGGAAATTTTGACACGGTAACTGACTTATACCGGGTGTTACATTCCAAACGTAGTGCGATAAAGAATAAATTCAACTGTGAAATGAGGGGCTCAAAGTAAAAGTGGTATAAAATAACAGTGCAAGCAAAAGTGAGTCAAGTTTTCGTAAGCGCGGAAGAATGAAACAAATGTTACGCTACGAGGAAAAACGAATTACTTTTGGCTGCGAGCAAAAGCGGGATAAGATTTCACTGCGCGCAAGAAATGGATACAGATATATTCCGTTTTTGCCCGCACTCATTTTAAGATTCATTTTTGCCCGTTTCACTCTTCCCATATATTTTATATTATTACCACTTTAATACTTATAATGATATTATTTCAAAATTAATTAACAAATTCAATTTTTTAAAATTTTAATTCAAGAATAATATAATTATTTCAAGTTTTAGGTATTTAAATTTAGATTCAATAACTTTACAATCAGACAAGAAGATTCAATTACTTAAAATTTTAAACAAATTAAAATTAATTTTTTTTAAATAAATATATTGTATATTAAATAAAAAAATTCAATTCTTTCAAATTTTAATAAGTCTAAAATTTAATTATTTAAAATTTCAATCTAAATTCTAATGTATATTTAATAAAAATTGAATATTAGAAAAATTAAACTACGAATATTTGTAAATTTTAATTGCTAAAAATTTGCCTTAAATTTCATACTATAATTTTTTGAAAATAATTAATTTGAAATATAATTTTTGTTAAAAAGTTTGTAAATAATAGAAATGTAGGAAATTTGAAATACAAATTTTTGTATATTTGAAATACTTACTTTTTTTTACAAATTTAGGTCAGTAATTACATTTTAAGGAATTTTTAATGCGATTTTTTAAACGTAATTGAATTTCTAAAAAATTTTATTACAATAATTGAAATTGACTTATAAAACTAAACTTTTATTAAAAAAATTTTAATAATTGAACTTTGGAAGAAATAGAGTTATAATGTTTAGGAATTTTGACTTGAAATTTTTTGTTAATTTCAATTATTAAAATTTGTTATTTAACAACCTTTTGAAAATAATTTTTTAAGATTAAAATATAATCTATCATCTAAATTTATGTCAATAATATTTTTAATTGTGCAATTTTTGTTTTATATTATTTTTAATCAAACTGAAATTCAACTGAATCAAGTTTTAATTTTTCAAAATTATTTACAAAATCTTAAATTTATGAATCATTATGAATGTTTGACACTTAAAAAAATTACTTCTCATTTATTTTGAAAAATGAAGGCAAGCACTCAAAGAAGAAATACATAAGTTACGCATTTTTTTGAAAATATTAAAATGTTACTACTTATTTCAATAATATTTATTGCACATTTTTGTTTATAAAAAAAGTAATACATAGTATCATAAAATTATGATGCAGCACTTAAAACAAATTAGTTTTAAAATCAATTCCGGGATTTTTTTACTTTTTAACGTTCGAGAAAATTGCGAGAGGAACAAAATTTCAGTGATATAATCAAGAATCCAAAAAAGAACGGTTAAAAATATTTTCCTTGTCTAAAAATGGTAAACAAGTGATTTTCTTTAAAATTCTTCTCCGCTGTCATCACTGATAAAATCATAATCTTTGCAGGAGTCATTTGTTCTTAACTGTTGGTAGAATTGTCGGTGACTGGGAGGAATATACTCCATCAATGTCATTAGATCAGTGTGTTTTTGTTTAGTAATTGTCACACCAGTTGGGTATAGCAGAGACAACTCAATATCCCTGAAATCCTCTTCGGTAACATGCTTTCTTTTAATATTAACAGTGTGTACAATTCCGTCATCGTATTTTAAAAATAAAGAAAAAAGCTGTTCTTTGTCATGTTGTATCGATCTTGTCTTTAACCAATTAATGTTGTCTTTGTTAATGTCTTTTTTTCTATTCATAATGTGCTCTTGTAACTCTTGTGAAGAAAAAAAATCACTTGTTTTCATTTTTGTGACAATGAATTTTTTATCACGCTTTTTTGCATTTTTGATTATATCAATCCAGTGATCGGGGTCATAAACTGTTTCGAATAGTTTTTTTTCTTTTTCTATGTAACCAAAATTTCGGTCACAAGCGTTGTAGCTGTGCCCGGACATAAAAAATTTCTGTTCGATAAAATCGATATTACTGGAAGCAAGGAAATGCTTCAACATCAACGAAACTTTAATATTTCTATTCTGACCGCCGCAGGAATCTGAATACAATATTAAATGTTTTTTCGTGTCTGGGATGTGGTTTTTGAAGTGTTGAAGCAAGCAGGATCCTACTTCCTGTCCACCTCTGGATGCTACGTTTTCGGACCACACGTACATATATGCTGAAACAATATAAAGATTTTTTGGAAAATTTAATTAAGCATACACTTATTTTTTAATTATAATTATAAAAAATATTGGCTTAGAAATTTTTTAATTATTTAATATTAAAATTAAATTAAATACAAATGTCTGGTTTTAGCAAAAATATGGTTTTGGTTTTCTCTTACCAAAAAATGAATAAATATTTGCAAAGTATTGAATTTTTAATTTTTTGAATTGCATTATTCAGAAGAATTATTATTTACTAATAATTTTTTTTTTCTTAAAGCACTTATGTACTGAATTAAATTACCTTGTCGTTGAATTTCATCATAGATACACAGATTGTACGTAGACAATTGCCGTTTATAAAATGCGATTCCAGTTGTGAGAGAAGGAGTTGGCAGAACTTTCTGGAGGTCAAATGTCAAAACGACAGTGTCTTCTAAAGCATTCGTCACATCACTCTTAAATTCATCTGTGATTTTCTGTATCAAGGACATATGGTGTTCCTTCGAATTTTCGATTTCCTGTTTTTCTTCATCAGACAAATTTTCTTGGAGTAATTGAGCCTTGTATGCGTCGCAGGTCTTACAAGTGTCAGAATGTGGTTTTTTAAAACTTAAATTAAAATCTTCATTAAAAATCTTTCGGAATATGTTCTCAGACACAGGCTTAATAAATTGTTCGTCACATTGCTGTTGGTACATTTTATACATTTTAGCTTGGTTCAGACTCGGGCTTAAATACTTTTTCTGTGAAGACGAACGACCGTAATGTGACTCGTAAGCTGGAAATCGGTTAATGAATGATCTTACAGTATTTATTGCAGTATTACTGGTTTTATTCACAGAAGAAGCTTTTCCACGCCGTTCACTTCCATTTGGGTTTAATGTAGCTGAATTTACTGCTCTATTTAATGAAGATTTTGAAATTTGAATACATTTGAAAAAAAAAGAATTACATACTTTAATTCTAACACCTGAACTGTCAATAAAGTGATAATCAAAACTAAAATCACGTTTCCTTAGTGGTATAAGCGGTCTATTGATAAAATTTCTTGATTTTACTGGCACTTTTTCGACAAACGAACGAATTAGCATAATTTTTTGAGTCCTATTTGAATGTTGATAATAACAGTTGAATATTTCTTCTTGACGAATAGGATCGATTTTTGTCGCGCAATCGAAATTGCAAAGGCATTGAGTCTGGCTGATGAATTTTATTTCTCTGATTCTTCTTCCTGACGCAGTAATTCGCTCTCGTCCTCTTTCTACGTTTTCTTTTAATATGTTTTTTTTGTGTAAATGTGGATGCCTTATTCTTTTTCGTGAAATTCTTCTTGTCTCAGTTGACAAAGGATCTACAAAGAAACATGAAAGAAATTTAAAAATTCAAATTTTTTAAATTTAGAAATAATTAGAATTTTCTTTATTTTAATTTTTAATCAATGAAAACCTTAATTATCTAAAATTGTAATCTATTAATATCCAACTAAAAATTCAATTATTACTTATTTTACTGAATTAATTTTAGAAACTCAAATTAATTGTATTTTCAATTACTAAGACATTACTTAAGACATTACTAAGACATTACTTAAGACAAAAGCTGTGAAAATAACTATTTTTTCAACTTTCAATCCAAAAAGTCTATTAAAGTTTCATATTTTATTTTGAAAAAATGAACACAAAATTTGTTTGTTACTTTGTGCAGAATACAAAAAAAATTGTTAGACTGTTCGCGAAAGCCAAACAAGTAGTTCATTTTATGATTATTACGCTTCCTCAATATAATAAATACCAGTTGCTTAATTTTCTATTATAGAATAATTATTTTAATGTGCTAAGATAAAAATTCAAAA